TTCAGCAATTTTTATACGTGTGCATGTAAACAAATTTCGTTGTAGAGGGGTCTAAATATAGCACAAACAACATTTTCCAAAAGTTCTAAAAAGTGAAAAGTACATTTTAACAAAACGCATTTGACTAACAGGTTGAACAACTGATGTTCTTGAATATATATATATATATATATATATATATATATATATATCATATACTTGTAGAAAATAATGGCATAATTGTACCTCTTGATATAAATAATTCATTAATACATTTATTCATTAAATTTGAAGAATTGTCTTAGCCGTGTGATATGGTTTTCGTTATCATTATCAACTGATTCAGGTTTATATCAACTGCTTCCTGTTAATATTGCATGCCTTTCTGTAACGTTATCCGTGGCATTTCGACGTAATTCTGGAATATACTGCTCAATAGTACATTTTAGTGAAAAACATAACTAAAGGATAAAAATATTATTAAAAAATTGTAAAAAAAAAATACGATAAATGATTTTTCAAAGTCTTGAAAAAAGATATTGTCTGTATGACTTCTGCTGCAGTATATGATAAAAAGAATATAACATGTCATTAATCATATATGACCCCTTAGAAGCCCATGGTCAAGATTATCCCTTGAGTCTGTCGGCTCTCGGGCTGATATCATAAAATTGAGAACGGAAATGTGGAATGTGTCAAAGAGACAACAACCCGACCATAGAACAGACAACAGCAGAAGGTCACCAACAGGTCTTCAATGCAGCGAGAAATTCCCGCACCCGGAGGCGTCCTTCAGCTGGCCCCTAAACAAATATATATACTAGTTCAGTGATAATGAACGCCATACTAAACTCCAAATTGTACACAAGAAACTAAAATTAAAAATAATACAAGACTAACAAAGGCTAGAGGCTCCTGACTTGGGACAGGCGCAAAAATGCGGCGGGGTTAAACATGTTTATGAGATCTCAACCCTCCCCCTATACCTCTAGCCAATGTAGAAAAGTAAACGCATAACAATACGCACATTAAAACTCAGTTCAAAAGAAGTCCGAGACTGATGTCAGAAGATGTAACCAAAGAAAATAAACAAAATAACAATAATACATAAATAACAACAGACTACTAGCAGTTAACTGACATGCCAGCTCCAGACTTCAATTAACCTGATTGAAAGATTATGTCTTCATCATATGAATATCAGGCACAATCCTTCCCGTTAGGGGTTTAGTATCATACCATCATAACATATATGAGAAGAACATAACCCGTGTCATGCCAACAACTGGTTTTTAAATAAATGTGTTTAGTTCCGATGCAAAGACCCTATAAGTGAATCAATATTAACGCCAAAATATGCAATCTTTAATGACCTGACAACAGTATCGTAACTATATCACTTCTTAATAAGTCTATTTAAAGGTTTTGTTAGCTTTGGAGGTGAATACTGACATTTTTGTGCTTTATAAAGAATATTTCGATAAAAAATTGGATGTGAAATACCTGAACGTATAAGAAGTCTGCATGTTGAGCTATATTTACGAGTGATGTCCTTATACCGATGATAAAATTTAGTAAATGTTGTGACTAGTTTGTGATATCGAAAACCCTGGTGTAATAATTTTTCAGTAATACATAAATTTCTCTCGTTAAAATCTAAAACATTGTTACATACACGAGCGAATCGAACAATTTGAGATATATAAACACCGTAAGATGGTGACAAGGGAACGTCACCATCTAAAAATTGATAATTAACGATAGGAAATGAAAAATCATCTCTTTTTTCATATATTTTAGTATTAAGCTTTCCGTTAATGATATAGATATCAAGATCGAGGAAAGGGCAGTGGTCATTGTTAGTATTAGCTTTATTTAAAGTAAGTTCAACAGGATAAATTTCTTTAGTATACATACTGAAGTCGTCATTATTGAGAGCCAAAATATCATCCAAATATCTAAAAGTATTATTGAATTTGTGTATCAGATGTTGTTTCGATGGGTCTTTGCTGATTTTTGTCATAAATGACCTAGGGCTGATAAGGGGTATGATATGAAAAATGGCATGTTATAATCTATATATATGATTCGTCTAAATAACAGCCAAACAATGTTAGATCTGTAAATTTTCGGCAACAAATTTTTGTACTTCCCTGACGGTGATTCGACTATATGTTTATAGGTGGTCATCGTTTTCATGAATAGGCCTGATTCTATTGTATTGGATAATCTGCAATTCGTCGATAACCTAAACACGTTTGAATAAGTTTAACTGAGTATATAAAAAGTAAAATCACAAAAATACTGAAATCCGATGAAAATTCAAAAAGAAAAGGTCCCTAATGAAACGGCAAAATCAAAAACTCAAACAAATCAGACGAATGGACAACAACCGATTTCCTTAGTAGGAAACAAAAGTACAAAAAATAATCACTATTTCACTTCATTCAAGGGGCATGGCAGTCACTGACAAAAGAATCTGGATACATGACTTTTAATTTTATTGTTATCGGCTTTTAACATGTTGAAATAATTCTAAGTAACTGCGAGTACTGTTAGATGACAACTTTGTTATTGAGTTCTCTGAGATGATAACTTTGTGTCAAATCTTTTTGTTAGTTGTCTTTGTGCTTAATGTAGATCAGATGAGTCGATCCTTTAATCAAATTCATCACGTTTTGATGTTTACTTATTATTAAAAAAGATTACCAATACTTCCTAAGTAATACGTCATAGTGTGTCACGTCCCGTTTGCAATTATACCGTATACTCCATTTTTTCCTATCAGAGAACAAAACTTGCCTATAAAAAAAGGTCGTCCTTCACTTTAATTTCTGTGGCTGGATTTCACAGATTTCATTTTATCTTTTTTCTTTTTATTTGTTTTTCGAAAAGCAGTACAATCAAGAGTTTTCTCAATATACTGCTGAAATTTACCCAAAGGAACTTATTTTAAATAAATCAAATTTAAACAGTAATAACTGTCCTTTCCTAGATTTAAATATTTCGGTTTTAAACGGGAAACTCCACAGTAAAATTTACGACAAAAGGGACGATTTTTCGTTCCCTATTGTAAAATTTTCATTTTTAGATGGTGATGTTCCTTTGGCTTCATCTTTCGGTGTTTATATTTCACAGCTCGTTCGCTATGCCCGTGTCTGTTGCGACGTTTTTGATTCTAACGAACATAATCTATGTAATACTGGTAAATTATTAATCCAGGAATTTAGTTACCATAAATTACTTAAAACCTTTACTAAATTTTTCCATAGATATAAAGATTTGGTTTTGAAGTTTAGTTATACCTGTAGAAAACTTATTTCTAACGGGATAGCACATACTAATTTTTACGGAAATGTTGTTAACCGTGCCCGAAAATTTAGAAACGATTCTGGTAAACTTGTCGATCATTTAAATAAATTTATTCTAAAAGGTTACCAATTCAACACTGTAATAACATCATTGAATATTGTTTTTATTGGTATAAATATTGATTTTGTTATCAGTAAATTAAAAGCTAACTAAATATTACTTGTAAGTTATATACATATACACATTCATGGATCTACAATCTGTCGATACCTGTATCTTGGCATTGCACAAGGTCATGTTTTTCTCTGACTATTTATGACGTCTTTACACGAAATCCATTGGATGTTGGATGTGTACGGATTGATAACTTAGTCTTAGATGCATGATTTTTTTATTAGTTGTTAGAGGCTTTGAACTAGCTGTCAGTTAACTGCGTGTACTCTCAGATCTGTACCTAGTGTCTTTTTGTTGTTGGGATGTACAAGTACCCATCCACGTCCACTTGTATTTTTATCCATCTGATGAGTTAAGCCTTTTTCAACTGATTTTTATAGTTCGTTCTTATGTTGTACTGTTATACCACTGTCTCAGGTTAGGGGGGATCCCGCTAACATGTTTAACTACGCCTTATTCTGTATGTATGTGCCTGTTCCAAGTCAGGAGTCTGTAATTCAGTGGTTGTCGTTTGTGTATGTGTTACATATTTGTTTTTCGTTCATTTTTTATACATAAATTAGGCCGTTAGTTTTCTCGTTTGAATTGTTTTACATTGTCATTTCGGGGCCTTTTGTAGCTGACCATGCGGTATGGGCTTTGCTCATTGTTGAAGGCCGTACGGTGACCTATTTTTGTTAATGTCTGTGTCATTGTGGTCTCTTGTGGAGAGTTGTCTCATTGGCAATCATATCACATCTCTTTTTTTTATATATAATTAAATATCAACGACTCTGCATGTGGACCATAAAAAAAAATTCAAAAAAAATCGTACAACCCGTTTCAATCTTATATAATTACTTGGTCCTTATCAAATAAGGCGACATAAGTAAACCGAAATTCCAATTTTTATAATTACTCGTGTTCTAAGCGAAACTGTGATTGTAATATCCATTTCAAACTTAGCGAACATTTCAACTTCGTTTCTCCAACTCTACTTCAAGATTACTGATCTTCAAATAATTACACTTCATATTTAAACAATTACTTGTCTCATTCAGTTTTCATTATTATCATTATTGATATCTCTCAAGAGCGTGACCTATTATATTTGTATTCTGTATTGTTATTGCAACAGTTGCATGATTGTTTGTTGGATTTTGACGCCCGATACAGGTATATTTGTGTAGATATCAGGTCGCATCTCTGTACAGGGGTATTTCAATGCAGTATATAATTAACTTATCTGATTTTCCATGACAGCGGTATTATGACAAATATAGAGCGACTAAATACACTTATCATTGATACCATGATTAGAGTTGTGTCCGCCAGCTGTGCGTTTCGTATACAAAAGACTGATCAAAGACGTTACAATAAAAAAAAATTTGAAAGGCCAAATGAAGTGTTTGGTATTGTGACCCTAATAATCGTTTGATAATGTGAATGTTTTTGTTACTATATTGAAATGGGCTATTGCATACCAATATGCAAAGTATTAGGCAGATGCCGGCTTAATTCATGACTATACACTAAATAAGAACACAAACACAGTGTAAATGCCATATTTTGTTTTTATTTATTCACTCGTGGTTAGTTACTACATGTACTAGTGATATAAGATTTCACAAGTTAACAACCGTCATCTTTTCGGTTTTGATTTTTTTTTTCGAACTTCTTTAATTTTTTTTTTTTCATTTTCGTCCAAACCATAACTAACCTGACAGACACTATAATCAAATTATAGTATACAACTCCTCTCACGTATACATACTCGTTATAATGCAAAACAAAAAAGTTTGAAGAAGAAACGATTCAAAGGGTCACTCATTCTGATTAAATAGAACAACCACACAAATCGATGGGAAACAAAAAAAGAGAATCAAAGAAAAAGGCAACAAAACCCATATTTAGAATTTATAGATAAGACAAAATGATGTAACACGAGGATACAAGAATGATAAATATAGTATATTATGGACTGATTTTGGCTTACAGTATTGTCTTGCTAACTTAATTATTCTTTTGACACAGACACATCATAAAATATTGATAACACTACGATCTAACTACCTAAGGGAAAGATTATTCCAGTTATAATAGTTTTGCTTTTTCCGTTGGAATACGAATATCGTGCATCCTATTACTCCAAAAAACTACTGTTTCAAAGTGTATTTTTCTAAGCACAAATCAGTTAAACATGCCACCCAGTACCAAAATAAAATAAACATAAACAACAGACTTGGTACTTGGCGGCATCATAAATAGATAAATTTGGTTATCAGGGTGGATTGTATAATACTTGTATAAATGAAAGCAATATTGGAACAAATGACTTAAACATTGTGTTGGTTGTAATGAAGAGTTCCAAAATTTATTTTTATATTCAAAATACTGAAACGACACTGAATAACAATAGTTTATATATCTAAGAATGGTTCGTCAGATGACAGCTTATTCCAAAAGTATATGGTTTTAACATTTTAGTTTAAAATAAGGGAGATAATTTGTTACTTCCGGTTTGAAAAAATGTCACTTCCGGTATATAAAAGTTAATTTGACACTGATTTATAAAATATATTGTTCTATAAACTTTTACACTAAATAAGTACAAAATGAGATACTTCCGGTTCTCACAAGGTCACGTCTGTTTGGCTTTTTCAAGGTCATATGGCTTACAACTTAAACAAGAAGTCACATGGCTCTATCATTCATAAATAGAAAGTTAAAGCGAAGGTCAAAATCTAGAACGTCAAATTTACATATGAACTTGACTTTAAATTCAAGATCATAAAGTAAGGATGTTAAAAAAAAACCTAGGCCTCTGCTATACATGGTTAATGAGTTATATCACCAAACAGCTAGTTTTAAATATAAGAGCGGAGAAAACTCAAACTTTCTGTCAACGTACCCGTTAACCAAAATTTATGTGTAACGACATGTCGCATATAACAATTCAGTAGAAATAATTTGTCGATATCTTATAAAAAGTAACAACAAGCCAAAATCAAAATTAAAATCATGACCTTGGCCTTTTTTTTTTTCTTTAAGTGGACCAAGGACCTCAAATCAAAACACACAAGGTCTCTATCACTTATGGCTACACGTTACAAATTAATCACACTTATTTCATACATAAGGGGAATAACTCTCAAAAGGACTTTGTGACGCTTCGGTCAAAATAAAACGTAACATTCTGAGGATATTACGAGCAATTTGGAAGAATAAATTTGTCGCTTTCTTTTAAGGTTGCAAGGAAAATCTCATAACAAGAAAAACAGTGTTTTGGGAGAAAACTCTTACAAGGAAAAGTGTTCGGTTTAACAGGGTCAGTTTCAAAAGCGTATATACTGTATGATATCATATACAATAAAAACTAAGCGACATCTTTTAAAACAAAAATACATCACAGGAAAAAAATAAGGCGGAAGAAAAAAATAATCAGAACAAAACCAATAGGTCTTTCCACGGAAAAGCGAAAAGACTTTATTACTTAATCGTAAGATTTGTAATGAATAACATCTAGTGCAAGCCCTTATAAGTCCATAACACTGTACACTGTACACTGGTTATTTATTACTTGTATAAACAATTCAATAGATGTGTGATTCAAGAAACGTTATTCACCACCAGACTCTCTTAACGAAGATTGGCTGAATATTTTTTTTTGAGTGCGACTTTGAATGAACAAAAAAACATTCATCAGACTTGATGTAGTTAATTGATAGAGGAACAAAATTTCACTTCATAAAATTTATCAATTAGTTAGCTAAGACAGTATCCTGAGTTACTGAACAACTTGTCTTTATTCCTATTCATCAAATGTTTAATATAATATTCGTAAGCTAGCACGAACACATTTGATTTGATTAATTCATACTGTTTATAAAGTGAGACAATGTAAGTCAGAACTAGGATCTGTCCACTTATACATAAATGACACTCCGGAAGTGAGATATGACAAGTTTGATATAAGGCTTTCGTACATTTATTTTTATTTTCCATTAAAAAACGTACAATAACTTTTTTAAGTGGTGATATCCGTTATTATGAGCTGTTTTTGGTCTCATATAAAAAAGAAACGAGAGATTTAATGCACAATAGTTGGCTTTGTGGAACAGGTTCACGAAGTTGGAATTATTTGTTTTTCCTACTTCTTGTTGTAAAGGTGAAACGCTCAATACAATCCACATTTCAGTTGAAATTCAGAAATTCCTTCAATAACATACAAAAATAAATTCGATACATGCTTGATATTTTGTTTCAACAAGAAAACACTTTAGTCATGTTAGTTGTACTACGTAATAGATATGCAAAAGTCAGACATTACGATACTTTCTCACCACTTTACAAACAACTTCATGAATCTTCCAGTTTATTTCTTGACATTTTTCGGAACAATATGTAGCTGTTTTGCATTTGCTACATTTGTTTAGATTTGTTCGACTAAAGAAAAAACACTGAAAGCAGAATTTAAACTTGTATGAATTTCTGGTAAACCACGTGTTGTATAATATTACCCACGCATGCAAGTTTGCTGCATTTGATTGGTTATTTTTATAATTAATTTCACTGTTATTTACCAGCAAAAATGAATTTAAATAACGCAACGGATTCCATGACATTGTTAATTTTTCTAGCGCTAAAGGTGTCAACCCAACAGTGAAGTAACTCCAAGCCATCAGATTATAGGCTACTTCAGGATGTCGAACATTTCTTAAATCTTTAATTTGGTAAGTATTAAGTATATCGTCCGCGGACAAATTGACCCCACTAAATTTCAGTTTTATTAAGAATTTGAGCAGGCAATAGTAAATATTCCTGTCAACAACAGCTCCATAACACCAAGGTGTTTCGGGGACTTCTCTTTTGCTTTTCGTTAATGGAATAGTGGAGTACTTGAACACTTCAAACTTCACAGCGTCAGGAATAATTGGAAGTTCAGTTGGCATAAACGAAACACATGTAGATTTACTTAATTGTGAAATGCTAATGATATTTACAACCGTTGGAGATATTGCAGCGTAAATACTATCATAACTATGGCCAATACAGTAAGATCGACTATTTTTTATTGTTTCCTCGTTGAGTTGATCTAAGAACCATTCACAGTCTTTATAACAACCAAGAGCGTACAACACTGATATAAACTTCAGATATCCAGTTATACCACCTTTCATGAAATATGTGTAAGATCCTAACAAAAGGAAATTACGACCCAGAATATTCGGTTGATGGATACACATTGCAGAAATATTACTAGCCAAGCTCATGTAGATAAAGGGTGTTAATATGGACAGAGAACGTCGAGTTTCTTCTGTTGTGTGCTCAGTAATATGGTCTTTTTGCTGAATACGAATTAACATACGCCAAAGAAGTTCAATCAAATTTGTACGTTTTTCATAGGTCAGATATAGACAGAATTCATACATTGCAGCTTCAACAGTTTGTATGTTCGTCTTCCATATTACGTCTTTATATGCCTTAATGCTATCTCTCCGAAGATTTTGTGACAATTCGGGAGACCGTCGTGATTCGAAATAGTCACGTATATTGTCAGATTTTACATGCTTCAAAAAACTAAATCCGTCCCCTAAAAGTTTTACTAATTTGTTTTCTGACACTGTTCTCAAATCGTGAGGTAACCTTCCATCAAACATATTTTCACTGAGAATAAAGTAGTTAGGGCAGAAACCTTGTCTAACCCAATCTAACATTCGCGTTATACACAGCTTAACACACTGAAACAGATTTGCTTTTCGCCAAACATCCAAATTATTCTCTTCTATCACATAAAATAAACATGTCTTCCAATGGTATGAAGTTATACATTCCACATTAATAATATCACGATTTAACATTTTAAGAACAACATAACATTTAAATTGGACATCTGTTAGATCAAATATTAGTTTCCGTTCTTGTAATGTAAGAGATATTCTCCATTCGAAATCTTTTTCGAGAGACAACACATGTCCTTTTCTCACAAGGAAATAACCAAGCAATTTCAGCTCATTAATCACATCTTTTGTTGGCCATCCATTGCATCTTTTTCGGGTCAGCCATTCATTTGCCTCTATTGGCCAATGCTTGGACCTATAACAGGTGACTACATCAATACTAATACCATTATAATTTCCAATGGTTGCAGCAGGCTTGTTCTTGGGTCTTGGCATATACGGTTTTTTATCCTTATGTTCACCTATAATCTCAGTCAGAAGTATTCGCTTACATTCATCAATTTCGAACAAACCTTTAAATTTGCTGTCATAAAAAGACAAATCGGCAATTGTGCCTGGTACTTTTCCCCTTACGATTTGTAATTTAACATACCCAGCAGGTCTACGAGGATCTCTTATGATTAATAAGGAATATCGGTTCTGAACAGCTTTTGATATGTCCTCGATGACAATAACATTGTCATCACATGAAATAGCATCAAAGTCAGTTTTAACACCTGTCAAAAAAATATATGGTTGTAATATATTATTAAACCTGTCAACTCAAACGCAAACGTTTTTGATAAATACTTATGGATTAAAACTAAATCAGTCACTTACGGGTATTTTTTCTTTTTATTTTCATATGACAAGTAGTACAGTATCTATTGTTATACACAAATGGTTAGCAATTATTCTTTGGGGATAAGAGTCTCGACTTGAGATGTCAATTTTCTACACACATGGCTATTTTGTCGAACTTGTTTTGCAAATGGCTCAAATGTCTCAAAATTAAACATATGATACACGACTACGTAGTGCAGCGGAGCAAAGCTATCTTGAAATAAATATAGTATTCAAATTTCTGAACTCCTAGCATAAGGTAAAATAACAACAAACAAAAAAAAAAAAACCTCCAAGGCATATCTAAAATTGAAAGTCCCTTATCAAAAGGCAAAACCAAAAGTCCAAACACGTCAGACGAATGGAAAACAACTGCCATGCTCTCAACTTGAAGCACGCATTTATTTATGTCGACAATGGTAGATAACACCTGGCTGTACGTACAGCTAGTAAAACCTCCCACCTGTAGAATGTCATTATATAACAACAATGCGTGCTGCTCATAATATTTAGGGTTCACATGTAATAAACTGAGTTGTTGTCTTGTATGGCCCTGTATACCATCGGAATAAGGTTTGTAATTTATATCAAAGAAACCAAATCATATTCACTGTAAAACGTAACCGGTAGTAAGTTAATAGTGCAATAATGCTTGGAATTAGAGCAAACATAAAACATGTCTGTTTCAAATGTTAATCTTGGTGTTTATGATACGTTTATTTATAACCACTGGTTTGATGACAATGCTGGTTGATGATTCGTCCCCGTTGGTATCACCGACGCCTAGCAGTCAGTACATACGAGGGTTGTCCGTAAAGTTTGAGGACAATCTCAATAAAATATCATTTACCCGTCCGAAATAAATAAAACAAGTATATAACTAATTTCATGATTTACTGATTAAGTGTACAAAATTTTATTTCAGTACCTGCTTAAATAATCGTATTTTCATCAATGTAAAAATATAAGAAGCTCTCACCCGGAGCACCCAAACAAATATTTCCGACGTTCCGACGTTCGACGACGTCAACATTATAACTTTTCTCAACGTAGTCTCCTTTCAAAGCAACACAGTTTTTACATCTTTTCAACCAGTCATCAAATATTTTCTCAAACTGTTCTGTTTTTGTTGTTAAGATTATGTTCATTACTTCCTGTCTTTGTTCAGGTAAATCGTCGAACCTTTGTCCACGGAGAAAAGATTTGATATGCGGGAATACCGCAAAATCCATTGGCGCTAAGTCAGGGCTATACGGAGGTTGTTTCAGACATTCGAACTCAAGTAAATCAATTTCTAGATGAGTTTTTAGAGAAGTGTGCCCGGTGCATTGTCTTGGTGTAATATCACTGATGTAGTAATGAAACCAGCTTTCATCGGTTGTAATTATTCTGTCTAGAAATCGTATGCCACCACGACCACGAGAAAGTTTTTTAATAAATTGATTCGACAATTCCATCATGGCCGTTTTGTTAAATGTTCTGCTGTAAGAAGTCGCTGTACCCATCTAGCACATACTCGATTCATATTTAAATCATTTGCAAAAATGTGGTGCGCTGTAGTCTTAGAAATGTCACATTTTGTCTGCAACTTCGCAAACTGTTAGTCGCCGGTCAACGTTGATAACGTTCAGAACTTCATCTTTTATCGCATCTGATTTCCTGAAAGATGGCCTACCTTCCCGCTCTTCGTCTTCCAAATTGTATCTACCGTCCCCAAACCTTTTGTGCCACTTGAATTCCAATAACCGACTAACTTTGCTATGTTTCTCAGACTGTTTTAAGAATTTGTGTGTTTCTGTTGGCGTCTTTCCGATGTCTACATAAAGCTTTATAACCATCCGCTGCTCCACCTTTTCCGTAAATGTCCTTTTTTTTCAGTGAAGCCGATTCTGAATTCAATGCTTCAAATCGAGATTTCTCCGCCATTTCGAAATTTTGACCATTCAAATTTAGCAGGTGTAACGGCAAGACTATTGTCAACGTCACAATGTATGTTTCGTGTATTTTTTGGCGGATTTTGAAATTTAAAATAACAAAAATATGAAAACACCAGCCTGCATGTAATGTGATATTTTCACCATGCTCCGGGTCCCTATTGCTTATATTTATATAAAGTAAGTGTCATTATTTCGTATTTAAAATTGGACAACTATTGATATAACCGAACTAGGATATAGTTCAGAATTACTAATATGCAAAAAGAATTTACAAGAAATGCTATTTTTACGCAGACTTCAGCTTGTCCACGAACTTTACGGACAACCCTCGTATGTGTTAATACGAATCATCCTTGATATGTTTATAATTATAAATAACCTTTTTACAAATTTTCTTTCTAAAACCATGTTCTACTACATTGATAAATAGATTACCTTTAATTGTATTTGGAAACACCTTTCGTAATGTATATTCCTCAATTCTCTTCAATTGTATACTTTACTGACCTTTTCAACTTTTTTTATTCGAGAATTACTGGTGATTTTTTTGGGGACAATAGGCGGGTCTTGTGTACACAATTTTAATCCTGCCATCTATGATGAGTTTATGTCTAACCACTATTGTTAATCGATCATGTGTTGACAGGCATTATCATTGATATGGTAATAATAATAAAATCACTGTTTACAAAACTGATTAGTTTTCGAAATACTAAAGAATATTTACCTGGTGTTAATGTACCTTCCCATTTACCTCCAACTCCATAATTGGCCATCTTTTTATTTTCGGATCCAAAAGTACAAATAATTTCAAACGTAATGCCACTTCGTTGAATAGTCTTCCTATACTCATCATTCGCTCCAATACTATCAAGGACTTCATATAACCAGGTGCTATCCTTTTCATCGTCTGAAAATATTTTTCTTTGTTAATGTTTAATACAATGGTATTCAACCTAATTTTGACTGTAAGATAAATTGTAGATCAAAAAACTGTTTATACATGAACATGATGCTGTACAAACTTTTAATTTCGGCTTGCCAGCTAGTTTTGATGAAACTGTATTGGATAAAGTGATAAACAAACTGTAAACTACAAAAGAATTCAGAACTTAATAGTTACACTTAGTTTACAAATAACACTAGAAGAGAGGGGAGAACGATACCTGAGGGAAAATCAAACTCATAGATCGAATATAAACTGACAACGCCATGGCTAAAACAGAAAAGAAAAAGAGACAAATAATAGTAGCTGTCCATTGATTAATTCCAACCTAGCGTCAGTGTTGATAGATTTCATAACATAAGGAGAATACACTTTTCATATTTCATTGGAATTCGATGTTGAAGGAAAATTGAACAAACAATTATTTTCAATTTTGTTTAAACAGGACTAAAGAATAAAAACAAAGTACTTTTTTATGTTTGTTATAGATGGTAAAACTTACAAGGTGTCAGTGAACTATGTATTCTCTTTTGCTTCAGCTATCTTTCAAAATAGTTTGGTAACATCGCTTCTGTTCCCCGATCTTATCGATTTGAATTTGTTTAAATCTTACCAAGGGCACCATAAATGTAGAGTGTAAATCTGTAGCAATTTTAAGCTAAGATATAAAAACACATCTGTTTAGCCATAACTTTTCATTAAAATGAAAAGCGCTCACAGCGACGTCACTAAAGTCACCGAAGTCGCCAATGATAAATAAAGACTAAAGAACGTCTTCACCCCGCGATAATCTCGACAAAACAAACTGTTTAAACGCCGAAAAGGTTTTCACAGTTATAACACGACTGCTACAATCATTTAAAATAAGTAACCGTTACTTTATACTTGTCCCGACGCAAAAATCGTTGAAACAGTGATTACTGTAATAAACAGTTTAAAAACTGAAAATATTGTTACAGTTAAAATATGTTTGCAACAACCATTATATATAGTCATAGTTATTTTTTAAGTATCGCAACTACCAAAACATGATACAGTCATTAAAATTGTAAAAAGTCACAGATACAAAATTTCTGACAGGAATAGGTTGGATCATTTGTAAAATAAAATCACCATGTGCAATATTAGAAGGTTGTTGTAATAATAAGAGAGTGAAATCGATCATGTATACAAGATTGTCTCCAATACCAGTAGTCTTACAGATCACATTATTTCAGAAATACCGCCAATATACTGTAAAACATATATTTATTAATTTTTGAACATATAATGACACATACTTTTTAGTTATGGAACAAAACAAATATTTTCTATTCTAATTTTTTTTCAAAGTTCAGTTCAGTTTAATATTGATTCGACTTTTTAAAGTTTACTGCACCGAATGACCTATTTGAAGGCTAATTGTCTTAACAAATATCACTTCACATGACTTTATTTCGGCAAACATATTTGGATTCGAATTTATTTATATTTCCACTTATTTTTCTCAACATTCTTACATTTACCATACATATGTATTTAATCACAGAAAAGTCGGTTTGATATTGATATATAGGATAAGAAATTCAGATGGTGATCAGTTAATCGGACATGTCTATTTGTATGATATTTCTAACTTGTTAAATTTATTATTGATTTTTGTCTTTTGTTGGCTACAATTCAAAGATGATCTCTGAGCAAAATGCAGTTATTCTGGCATTTTGGATAGACATCTTAAGTGCTGCTTCATATCAAATAGACAAATATTGACCATTTCAAACTGCTTCCATGAAAAACGTACCGATTATAGTAGCCCCTTCTTCATTTGCTTCTTCCATTTCTTCTTCTTCTTCTTTTTTTTCAACTTCTACCAAATATTGAACACCTTAAAAAAAAGTAAGATACATTGATGGCATCAAGAGTCATTTTTTTTTTAAATATCTTATAACCTTTAGCCTGCAAGATGGACTATCCCTTATACAGCCTTGGGAAAGAGAACTGGTAAATGCATAACAGACATACATATTAACAATACAACAACAGACAACGTTTAAACTGTTTCATGTTGATTTAACTAATTTGTTTTTTATACCTTTCAAAACACTTATCATACCATTGAATCGAATTATAGATAAACAGTTTCCAAATTATAAAACGTTGAATGAGTTGTAGACCTTACTTATCAAGCCCATTAGTACTCACGTTGTGTAGTTTATGTCATTATTTCCAAAGAGAGAATTGAAATATATACACACAAACACATATAAGTAATGTTTCTAATTGTCAGCAGATTTGAGATGTTTGCTCCTTTTTTTGTATGTAAGCTCGTGTCATAAATAGACGAATGTTTTAATTAGTATTTCACAATCTTTAAATATCCACTGGACTGATATTTAGCTATCTATAGTCACCCTTATTCTTTAGAATTGTAGCATTAACGTATATCACGATTAACTTTATTTGTCCGTTTAACTATCTATAATCAACTTTATTTTTTTACAATTGTATTTAGTTACAACACACGTATAACATGATTAATTTCTTGTGTATACTTATATAATTACCAGTTGGTGGTTTTATTTATTAATTTAAAATAACTAATGGGGCATACAGAAACAAAATTAAACAAGCTTAATGACAGATTGTCTTTAGTTTGTTCTTTCAGAATTTACATATTGATTTACTATTATCATGATCACATTATGCTAAGTCATAAGTCATATGATACTGCATTCATTTTTTAAAATGTCAGCAAAGATAGATGTAGCAAACATGTTTATAGCACAATTATTTTTAAATTATGATTTAAATCATAATGAATACAAAGTACAATTAACCCATATATGGTGTCAGTTATTTGAATGGTGAAGAACGCAATTAGACTAATTGAATACTTAAGAGTGTCAACATGGTCACCAAATTAAAATTTACAACAGTTTCATTTTACGCTATTACTTAAAATAAGGACATTTGTGTATTATCACTTGAATTAATAAAACAAAACGTAACATAACTTTCAGTGATCTACCATCAATTAAATAGTTAAATACTTTGTTTGATGTTTTCTTTTTAGACATGGTGTTGTCATTTTATTTTCGATCTATTAGTTGGAATGTCCTCTGGTATCTGTTACCCCTCCTTCAAATTAATCTGGTCTTATGTTTACATAATCATGATTCTTTCAAATACTTACCATATTGGTTTGGGGATTAGATGCGTTTGTATTTTGTTCTGTTTCAGGTGTCAAAATGATAAATATGTTATATACTGAATTAAAACTGGTCCAAGATTAACCTAATTAAACTGTTATTTTCCAATTCAAAAACGTGATTGATCAAAATGCAAAATTTGACAAAGCTAAATTTCACAAATTTTATTTGGTTGACACAGTAGAATTATTTCCGCATCAATGTATCCTAATTTACGGAAGTATTTATACATTTTTTTTCCTGTGATTGTCCTTTGGTTATCATATTTGGTAAAAATAGGTTGTTTACAATATTAAAACTTAAGGCAAATTAAAATACTTTAAATATGGCCGGAACGATGAATACGGAATTGAAAAGGTGTAATCAGTGGTTGGAGTCGTCAAATTGAAAAAAAATATTATAACATAACGCGAACGGTTGACAAACATATGATAAATAATGGACCCATACTTGTGTCAATTATTGATTAAAAGATAATGCTTTTTCTTGCAAAAGTTAATGGATAGTTTATCGTTTACTTTTTGTCAAAAGTAATATTCATAAAAAAAATTATAGACAAATAAACGAATTTTATCTGTAACACGTTATTAAGATGACAAACAAAGTCAGTTCCAAGAATCTATACTTCATGACAATTGAGTATTATTTGTGAAATTTATACGGAATATTTATATGAACAAGGTATATGTACCTTCCGATGATCTTTTTTAAAATGGGAATAATTTCATTCAACAATATAACACCCTAAAATAAATAGGTTCTACAATATAATGAGAATATCAGAAATAGTCTCATACCCACCTGATAATCAAATATACAAAAACACTTTTCTTTTTGACGATTCTACTTCTGTTGCTATGGCTTTGATTAAAAAAATGTTAAGTGAAATATTATCATAGTACAACAGCTGATCATCGATAATTGTATACGTGGCATTAATGAAGAAATAAGCCAAAATGACAAGAAACTGTATTCCTTCATCACAAAAGGAAAAAAAAACTCTCCACCACGCTGAACAGTTTTTATACAATAAACTGAGCAATGACAGGCATGCCAAGTGTAAGAATTATTGTATTTGTATTAATGCAATAAAACGTTTACTCTAAAGAACTAAACTTGGTCAAGAAATACACAATACAATAGTTATAAAAGGTACCAGGATTATAATTTAATACGCCAGACGCGCGTTTCGTCTACATAAGACTCATCAGTGACGCTCAGATCATAATAGTTATAAAGCCAAACAAGTACAAAGTTGAAGAGCATTGAGGACCCAAAATTCCAAAAAGTTATGCCAAATACGGCTAAGGTAATCTATTCCTGGGATAAGAAAATCCTTAGTTTTTCGAAAAATTCAATGTTTTGTAACAGGAAATTTATAAAAATGACCATATAATTGATATTCATGTCAACACCGAAGTGCTGACTACTGGGCTGGTGATACCCTCGGGGACGAAACGTCCACCAGCAGTGGCATCGACCCAGTGGTGTAAATACTTATAAAAGGTACCAGGATTTTAATTTAATACGCCAGACGCGCGTTTCGTCTACATAAGACTCATCAGTGACGCTCAGATCAAAATAGTTATAAAGCCAAACAAGTACAGAATTAAAGAGCATTGAGGACACAAAATTCCAAAAAGTTATGCCAAATACGGCTAAGGTAATCATATTCCTGAGATAAGAAAATCCTTCGATTTTCGAAAAATTCAATGTTTTGTAACAGGAAATTTATAAAAATGACCATATAATTGATATTCATGTCAACACCGAAGTGCTGGCTACTGGGCTGGTTATACCCTCGGGGACGAAACGTCCACCAGCAGTGCCATCGACCCAGTGGTGAAAATAGTTATAAAAGGTACCAGGATTATAATTTAATACGCCAGACGCGCGTTTCGTCTCCATAAGACTCATCAGTGACGCTCAGATCAAAATAGTTATAAAGCCAAACTAGTACAAAGTTGAAGAGCATTGAGGACCCAAAATTCCAAAAAAGTTATAAAATTCCAAAAAAAAATATGCCAAATACGGCTACAAAATATTAAGTACGTGTTTTCAAAAAAATAATGTTAAATAAGGCTTAAACTACAGTAATGTTGTTGTCTACAGTCGGCTTCTATATATGTTGACGTTTGCTTTTGTTTCAGTGCAATGTTTCTGCTGTTCTGTTGTTTTCCTTGTATTGTCTATGTCTTTCCTTCGGTTTTCTTTTGTTACATGGATATATTTTTTGCGTAATCGAATGATGACTATTGAACAGCGGTATACTACTGTTGCCTTTATTTGATTGAATACGACCAGAAATAAACCCCGCAATATTTTTGAAAAAAACGTAGTCTTACTTAAAATATATATTGCATTAAATATATTAAGTGATGTACACTTGTTATCATGCATCGTATGATTACATCTAAATATATGTTTTCATTGGAAATACACTGTGGTTAAATTAAATCCAATACAATACCTTTCTAACATTTTCTGTTTTCATTTGTTTATCGTTGACTGCTCATTGATAAATCCTGTCGTATCAATTTTATGTTCTCCTCCATAATACGAGAATCAGGTACTTTAGGTTCTGCACAATTAGTTGAAATTTGTTTTTACAAATAATTCTATAGTTCCAACGGTTAGAAATAAGTATAAAGCATGAACAGCGTACAACTTCTTTTTCTGTTTGGACAGCTCTGTAAAATTTATGTACGGTTTTGTAATGCACTAACATAGATTTATTGATCAACAAAAACAGTTGAATGTACTTCCTGTATTAAAGATATCACCTTAGCAATCGTGCGAAAAACTTTTAAATATTATTTCAAAATTGATTTTCTTTCGACAGTTGTTTGTTCTGAGTTATATTTAATCTATTAAATAAAGGATACTTGTTCGAGTAAATATTTGTTTATAGCAACCTTTAAAAATATCGTAGCTAAAATAAGATGACATTGCAGAATATTTCTATAAAACTATTAATAGAAATAGAACTGTTTTACTGACATTTTATACAAATGATCGACACGTATGGAAGATTTAGAACAATTGAAAAACTCTCTTGAAGTATCAATTAAAAGCCAAGCTCACAGACCAATAGCAAAACACACACACTGTTAACCAAAATTAGCAGGATAAAATATATCCTCAATGAAAAATCTACAAATGAATCTTCATGAAGGAAATTGTTAATTGACTCTTAGAAGGAGTGTTTGGCCTTGAAATATATTTTTTCACAAACTCTACAGAAACAGTAAGAAAAAAAAATACAAATTAAACAGTCGATACAATGAAATCATCAAACATTTCAAAATGGTTACAGTCGCTTTTTAACCTCATAATTGATATTTCACCAAAAATGTTCATTACCAAATTTTACAGTTATTCAGCGGTATGATTAATTACAGATAATTCAACATGGCCAGAATTACAAACTTATTCTTTATTGGAGTTATTATCCCTGTATAACTATTTATTCATTAAAACAAAATTGTATCAAGCTATATTTAATACAGAGCAACAATAGTATTGAATTAATCATTTGAATAAGATATACAAAAAGTAAACTTGGTCGAAAGCGTCAACTTATCCGTGTAAGTAGTAATACCGATTGAAAGATAACTTCAACCCTTGAACTATTTGAAATATTTCGTGTTGTTTACCTAATAAATACTGTAGTGTGCCATATCTGTTTTTGAAAAGAAAAAAAAACCATTCGAATCGTTGGTCTTCACTGCTATTCAACTGCGTACTTTATTTGACCTTTTATTAATTTCAAGTGTCACTGATAGGTCTTGTAGCATGGACCTTTTTATAGATAGAGAAAAGGTGTTAAACATGTTAAATCAAAGGCATTCTGCACAATAAGATTTAGATATAAGCTGAACACGCTGTAGGTTGCATTTCTATTGAATATAGACAATGCAATCTTCCATATATAGGAACTGCCTTTACGACTAAAGCTGTACCACTATACTATAAAGTTTCGAACAAAATAATATCCTAAAATGAAAAGCTTATATGCACTACCTTATTTGAAAGGTCAAAATATAGGGCTGTGCGGCATATTTTCATCATATATAGGCCCCGAACTTATACAAACATTTTGTACTACTACTGCCTTCACTTTGGGTCTGTGGTGGCTAATTTTGTTTATTTTTACTCGTAAAATTCCCAAGTTATGAGTCTATGAGATGAAACATCGAAATAATATCCTGGAACCAGTACGTGAACAAAACAAAAATATATGACTATTATACATCTCCCCAAAAGAACCTTGCAAACAGCTGTATTTACAAAGTGCAACCTGAAAGGGGGAATAACCAAATATCACGAGATGGGTTACCGGGTAAAGATATTTTTAACTTGACACATATTTTGATTCAAAACTTTGAAGAAAAAAGTATTTTGATTAAGGAAAAGAAAAAAAAATTTTCTTGAGAGTGTTTGCAATTTAATTTTATATCAAAGTCTTTTTTGTCAATAAACAGTATTATGTCAGTGGATTATAAACATTGTAAA